AAGGCATTGAGTGGAGTATTTTCAATGAAAAATTCTGGAAAGAAAATTGGCACAGATAAAAGCCCTCTTGTTTTCCCAAAAATATCTAACAGGAGATAAAATAAAGTGCACCACGCAACTTCCTCCTCACGTTTCACTCACTCGGAGCACACAGAGAAGTGGTACACCCACAGAGAAGTGGTACACCCCTGTCTAGAGAAGGTTCAAGTAAACAAGATGGTCACCTTGTCACTGCAACGCAAAGAGCTATGTCTGGCTGTCTTAACCCATACATGATCACCCCTACGTCCATGCTAGCCACGTGGTATGGTTTGCACTCGTAATGCCAGAGAGTTGACCAGTTGTCAGATCCTGGTCAAGGTGCCCTATCTTTATTTCCTCATTTAAGCCCTACTAGGAGGGAAGGATTACATGACAGCCCTGCTCTGCCATTTTCTACAAAAGAAAACACAGCCAAGTCACTTGCATAACGCTCAGAAGCCAGTCTGTGGCAGAGCTGAGGTTTTTAGCAGCCTGCTTGCTGCTGGTGTGTGTCGCCAAGACATGTCTGTGCCTGTGGGTCACAAATCTCCTGGCATAAGCACTTCACAAGACAGGCCAGCCATGTGGAAGAGAGCTCATTTCAAGGCAATGGTTTTAAAATTGCCCTTTTCTATCACACAAATGCTGGAGAGATCGATTCCTAGATCACCAGTCCAAAGACTAACTAGGTAAATATCCTGTTAGATAAGGGTGGTGAGCATTCTATAGTATAAGGAGTTTTGGCCACCTGGGCAAGCTGTGCCACCTCAGACAAGTTACATGGCCTCTCTGTGCAGCCACCTCCTCCTGCATACAATGGGGAAAACTGATCCCTGACTGCCAGAAGTGTCCCTCTCCGTGACCGCTGCAGTGCACACTCCGGGAACATACAAACTCCGCTCAGCTCAGAGCTGAAGCCCCCGCACGGAGAGCAGTGCCTGGCACTCAACAAATGCTTAAATGAAATTAAGTGACATTCAACTCCCTGAAGTCAAGATTTTTCTCTTTGCCTTTTCGGTTGCTGCTGTATCACCAGCACCTAGACCAGCGCCTGGCACAAAGTGGGCACTCAGTTAATGTTTACTGAGTGACTAAGAAAAAGAGCCCACAGGACTCCCATCTGTCTGCCCAGACTGTGCCGTGCATTTGGATCCAAGGCCGCTCCCACCTCCCACAAGGATCACAGGGAGGAGATCCTCCAGGCCTGCTTGCAGCTGCCGCCTCAGCCCTGAAGGAAATGACTTTGCCCGCTCGCCTTTGCGACTGGAACTCGTGCTCCAATCCCAACTCTGTTTTCCTTGTTAATGAAAATGTGGAAGATAATGAATGGGGAGAAACTAACAAAGTAGGAAACTGGCAACACAGAAGTTAAGATATTTATATAGAGGTCAATGGTATTGCAATGGTTCTCCTGGTTTTATGGCCCCATAAACTCCAGGCAGATAACAGCTCCCCAACAACACACACACAAAAGAGTGCAGCAGGGCAGGAGGGATCTGAAAATTCAAGATGACCATGAGTCACCCCTGCTTCTGTCCCAGCGCGAGCATCGCTGTACTAATGGATGGAAAGAAACCAAGTAACCATGGGAAAGGAGAAGTGAGGCCTACAAAGGACAGGATCAGTAAAACTGAGAAAGAGCAATATTTCTGAAGTACCTTCCAAAGACCACTTCCATGAGATGCTGAGAACTGTGAAAAAGAGATTCTTAGATTTCTTGACTGCACGACTTACTAGAACCTACAAAACATTAAATGCATTCTCTACCTCCAAGATGGGGAGTTTCATATACAGCCTTTTCTACTTATCTGGCCAAAGAACTTGGATTTTTCAGAACATCTTCCAGGATTGGTGTTCTGTAAAATGCTCAGTGGAACTCCTAGAGTAGGATAATAAGGCACAAAATAAGGACAAAAAGAAGCAAAGGACAACATAGAGTTAGTTGGGGGGTTAACAAATACTAATAATTAGCTTATTCACCTCAGCATATTAAAAATGAGATGACTTTTGAGCCATTTAATTCATTTGTTATAACTTCCCATCATTCTGGAAGTACAGCTAACAATCATAAAATTACAGAAACATAATTGGTTCAGAGACAATAATAAAACCATTTATCACATTACGAAGAACAGCACAGTAAATTTCCAGACTAAAGTTATTACAGTGTTTTAATCGGTGGCAGCTCCAGACACAAGCTTAGAGAGAGCACCCCCCTCTGTCCCCTGCTGCAGGTGGAACAGGGAAATGTGAGCTATTAAGAATCTTTTAGTAGATGTCAATGGGAAAGTTTGCTTTTCGAGTTTAAAGGAAAAGAAGAGCAAGCTCTTACCCTCAGAATGTTTTGTTCTTCCGGTTGAATCAACTCCAGAGTTATAAATGGACAAAAACTGAGTATTTTCACTTTAGTTGAATACTGCCCTCTGCTGGAATGTGCATACAGTTTCTAATGTCCAACAAGTATATACAAAGAAAAGTATTGCCTAGAACATCTATAAAATACACACATTATGTGGAGTTAGAGGGCTTGAGTATCCATCCAAATTATTTTGCTTATTGGCTGAGTGACTTCAATCCAACTAGCAGCCCAGTGTATGAACTTGTCTGTCCCCTAGGCCCATTGAACTCAACCTGTCTAAAACTGAATACATTTTTTGTCATGTTCCTGCTTCCCATAAGGCCTGTCCCACCCAAGGACACACCGGGAATCGCCTCTTCCCCCACCTGACACGCTGTGCCCTCAGGACAGAACCCATCTCTCCCTACCGCTCCAAACTCATTACACTGCTCAGATGCAGGCCTCCTTCTGCATTACCTTCTGCAGCCCCGTGGCCCCTCCAACCCATTCTCCACACTCTCACAATGGCCTTGCTAAAATAGCAATCTAACCTTAATTTACTTCCAGCAGCTCCCCAGAGCTGTCAAGGTGGTTCCAATTCTTTGCCAGCTTGTTTTCCTGCCCCGATCTCAAATTGTTAGCCCCATGAGGGCAAAAGCTTAGAATATAAGTACATATTTAGACTTCACTTTGCTCTAAATTAGTCTGAAGTTGTATTATGAGGGAATAAAAAGATACAAGAAAACATTAAGTAAAAATCAGAAGTTGATTTAAAATGTAAACAACGGAAAAGCAAGGGTGAAGGCGTATGAAATAAAGCCAATGCAAAAATGTATTCAGCAGCACCCTACACGTTTGCAATTGGCTGGCCAGAGCTTTAGCTCCAACTTTTTATCAGCCAACTAGAAGCAAGAAACCTGATCAGTTCCAGTTACAGCAGCAAAGCAAGCCGAATGCTCAGAAGCAGCTAACATTCCTCACATGAGACCAGAAGAGGTTTTCCCTACAGGTCTTCAAAAGACGGTGTGAAGTTGCCTAGCACCTTCTTGGGCAGGCAGGGCGAGCTTCAGCTCCCTCAATGCAGCCTGCCTATCGCTCACAGGAGAAAACAGTGAGGGTGTTTCCACAGGGGCCCAAGCAGGTGCAGCTTGGGTAGCAAGCTCAGCTGGCCACTTAACTCAGCAGTATATGCAATGTGGGTGGATCACGCAGACTTCCAGCAACTCGCCACAAATCTCCCTTCTCCAAGATGACTTTTTAATAAATATGTGGACAAAGAGTTTAAAGTTATACTACCTGACAAATACCTGGACTGCAACTATTCTATGTCACTGATTAGAAGAAGAATCAAAGGTACTAACCAGCTGGCAACAACTGGTAGCTTAGGGACAAGGATCTGGTCCTATTTTTTCTCCCTGACCCTAGCACCTAGCAGGGTGGCCCTCAGCCCTACCAGACTGTTGTCCCTTTACAGTAACAGGTAATTTGTAACGCCCCCTCCACTCTCCTGGATTTACGTAGATAATATACCCTACTTCCAAATGTGTATAACCCTGTCCTCATGTATACTTTCAAAAATAAAAACAATCCTCTAACACATAAAAAGGAAACTGATAAAAGATAATATGTATTTCAATATATAAAACCTTTGTCTAATTACCAATGAGAAGACATAATGATGTCTGATTCTTGAAACTACCATGTTTTAGAAAATAAAAGAAAAACAAACCAAAAAAAATCAGAATCCATTCCATAACAAGTGCAGGACTATTCAAGGACAGAGGTGAGAATGCTCCCTAGAATTGAACTTGTGCTTACCACTAGGACTCACTAACAGATTAGGCTTACCAGCATCTGTAAAGAGGAAGGAACCTGAACTGAAGTAGACCTTGTATGCCCAGGTAAACTGCCAAGTTGGGAGAGCTAAGGAAGTACTGTGTCGGGGCAAATGAGCTGGGTGTTATGTACAAGTGCGGCATCGACAAGATGCCATGTGTTACGACGTGGAGCAGAACGGTGATGATGTGTTATAAAAACTGTACACCCTGTCAGGACTCCCACACCAGTAGACTTGTACCTTCGACCTCTGACACTCCCTCAGGGCTGGGAACCACTGTGTGGGACCCGGGCTGGGCGGGCGGTCTGCACCCTGCAGAACATCCCGCAGCCCCATCCCTTTCCTCTATGTGCCAGGGGTGTCCCCACAATCCTCGTGATATCAAAAAACACCTTCACAGCCCTCATCTTCTTGAGGATCCACCAGCCCAGCACAGAGCAGGGCTCTGCAATGGTGAAACAAACTAAAGAGCAAGCGAGTGATGAAGGACTGAATGGGATAAAGAAACTAAACTTGATACTGAGGGGAATGATCTGTGTCAGGAGAGTGCCCTGGAGATTAAGAGCCAGGGAGGACCTGGCCCAGGACTGGCCAACAGCACTCAGTAAATGTCAATCAAAAAAAAAGTGGAAAACAGTATATTTCATATCATGCTGTCAGAGGACCCATATTGTATCCCAAACCCTGATCTTGCCTCTGATCCCCTTTGTTCTGTCTGTGCTTCACCCACGCACTTCAACCCCAGCAGGCTAGTGAGTCCTGCGCACTTTCTGGGTTCCCTGAGTGGAGAAGGAGCCTGCATACCTTCTTTGGGTTCTGCAGCACTGGAGGGCATATCTGGTCTTTCCTCTGGCCTGGTTTCTTGCTCTTCAAGAGTCTAAGGAAGCAAGAAAAAAAATCACTGAAGACCATTTGAGGCTTCAAATATGTAACAAAGAGATGAAAACCACATTCAAGGATCTCAGAGCTGGGACAGGCCAGAGGTATGGCCTGGGGAGGTTGGGGAAGATGGGCGGCACTCCAGGAAGGTGATGAGACATGTTGGGGGAACCTGGAGGCATGAGTCAAAACTGTCCTTGCAACTAATCCGCTACTGCTTCCCCAGCTCACAACAAGGCTCTCAGGGACAAGATGCATGAACCAAAAAGGGAAACAGAGAACAGAAAATCTTGAAACCAGAAAGAAGAGCCACTGTTTTATGCATCTGCTCACCGAAAGCAGCCCCACCCATGCCCTAAGCCACAGGCGCCTTGGGATGCCAGACAATAGGGTAGGGCCACCCTCCCCTGGAGGACCCAGGATGAGCGTGGGCCTAGGGCTGCAAGCTGACACACACAGGCACAGGCTGTCCCTGGCTGAGACGGCGTTTGTGAGCCTTGGAGAGAAGCTGTCCTCTTGGGAACCCTCTGAGCATTTTCTTTTCAAATGGATTTCCCACAGCCAGTGAATATGTGAAGAAAAACAGGATTATGTACAAATGAGTCAAATGGTAGAACAGCCCAACACCGCAGCCACACATGTTCCAAATCGAACACATGGGCAAACTTGGGCGGGCAACCCTAAAACTGACAGACACCTGAATCCCCCTGGGCATGTGATTAAGCTCAGTGTATCGAGAACTAAATTCTCAGTGCTCTGATTCATAATAAGCTGCTATAGGGAGAGAACTAAAACACAATTAAAATATATAGCTAAGATTTTGTCTGTTATTGAATTTCTTAATATCTATGTTTACAGAGACCTCTGATATTATTTGGATATGTAGTACCAACCTGTCACTGTTTAACATTGAATAATCATTATAAATTATCAGTCCACCAGTATCCGCTATAACAGAATGTTAGAATATGACTCCTTTACAACTCTGAACAAGCATGGCTCTGAACAGAGTTACCTGAGCAGCTCTTGGATGTGGTAAAGCAAACTTGGGTTTCTGCAGCATGGTTTCAGTGTTGTTCTAAAAGGCTGCAGGTAACTGGGCGATGCCCAAACCCTTAGACTCAAGATGCCTCCTGACACTGAGGATATACTGTGGTAAGCTGAGAATGAATTAGTCTCTCAGACCAAGGCAGATATAAAAATAGGATTTTAGACATCTAAGATTTCATAAAGCATGAATACTGTATGACAATATATAATCTCATATTTTTTACCCCAAATTGTAAACTTTTAGTGTGGATAACCTATATAACAATCATCATTGGCTTACATTTAAAATAACATCTAACCAAGCAAGAGGTACACAAAAATTTTTAAATTCGGTGACACCATCAAAACGTTTTGTCAAACAGGTAAGAATTAATGACTCTGGGTGTCCTGAAGAACCTCAGCCTTGTTCCCTTTTGGTCTCCCCACTCCCCACCCAGCCACACAACTCGAGTCAGAAAGAAAAAAGAGGCGCACTAACACCTGGAACACAGGGCCGTTCCGTTTTAACGGATTCTTTTATCCATGTTGTAACATCAATTTCCTCACTATTTTTTGTGAAATGAAAATCTCCAAATAGCTGAAACGCAATTCCTATTTGGTCTTTGTTATTATAAATCTACTTCAAAAGATTATCGACGCATCTACATTTACTCCTTCTAAATCTTCCCCATAGGTGATCGGTGTTATCCTGAATGTGTTATGAGAAATCACAAATCCAAACGAAGAGGTTGGAGGATTTGGTCACGGAAAGAAAGTTCAATGATTTTTGCCAGACACAGAGCTTGCTCCATGCTTCTCCGGAGTTCTGTCACCAGGGGCCGAGCTCCCAGCTGAGACCCCCTTCCAAAGGACACACGCGTTGCCGAGCTGCACCCGGGGGGGGGGGGGGCGGCGCGGAGCAGAGCGCACCCTGAGCAGTGCTGCTCCCCAGGCCAAGCCTCTGCCCGGCTGGAACGGCAACATCTGGGGGCCTGGGTGAGAGGCCCAGGGATGGCTGAAGCCTTAGTATCTTTTTTCCCCCCGTTTCTTTTAGAGAGAGAGGAAGGGAGAGAGAGAAACAGCGATGCAAGAGAGAAGCATCAATTTGTTGCCTCCCACACACATTCAGACCTGAGACTGCAGGTGCCTGGACCAGGTACCGAACCTGCAACCCAGGTATGTGCCCTGACCTGGAATCAGACCCTCCATCTTTCTGCTATGGGACAGCCCTCCAACCACTGAGCCACGCACGCCAGCCAGGAAAGGCTTAGTGTCTTTAACTGACAAGTATCCTTAGGCAAAATGAGGAAACATCACATGCCAGAAAATTATACACTAAATTCACAAAAACCCAAAGAAAGGAGGTAGTAGTTCATGCTCTGAGGATCATGTTTCATTCTAGTTGTTTAAAATAAAACCCTATATGGAATAAGCCAACAATAATCTTTATTTTATATATAGTGTTTGGGGCTAAATCCTTCATATTATGAAGCAAACATTTTACAAAAACCGTGATAAATAACAGTATCAGTTTCCTGACCTGTGTGCTCTGTGAAGCCTGCATAGTCATCAACCCCGCACCTTATTAACAGGTGTGCGGCAGGACACAGGGGTCACGTGATCTGGCGAGCGACTCCGTTACCCACCCCCCTCCCGCCCAGCGCTCTCCACCAGACTGACTCAGCCCTTTCGCTCAAAGTGACGTTTAGCTTAATAATAATTAAAAGATGTAAATATTCTTTATATTCTTCTCAACTCCACAAAAAAAAAAATAAAGAAGACGAAACCTTTTGACCCCCGAGATGGGCACGCTATGATAGCTCTCAGTGCTGGAGTTTGGGTCCTGGTGGGAGGAGGGGAAACCTCTTCCAAAAGGAACCGGTTTCAAGTGACCAGTCCTCATTCAAAAAGAATCTGTACACTGGGACAAATGCTTAGCCACATCTAAGCCATGAGAAACCCCACAAGTAGGCATGATACACGTAAAATAATCCTAAATGCAACTGCTTCAGATAAGAATTATGTCATCAATAAATTAATAGAAAATATCCAATGTTAGAATTTTAAAACCTAACACTGGCAAGGCTGGCTCATAAGAAATAGAAGCAGCAAGAATATTATATAAATTACCATTTTCTACTACCAAAATATTACATCATAATCTTCCTTTTACAGTGTAACACAGTTTCCAATTCCATATCCCCCAAGCTTCCATTAGAAAAGTACCGTCCCCAAAACAAGGAGAGCGCTGCCTACACTCCCCGGCTGTGTGTATTGTATGCTAGAAAAACAGGGCACAAACCTTGATGAGAAAGGCTCTATCCCAAAAGTACTTCCTGAAGAGTTTAATATCTGCCTCCAGCAAATGCTCGGCCGTGTGGTTGAGCGTCAGGGTCAGCGTTTCTGGCGAGTGAATGTACTGCAGGAAGGCATCTTCGCTGAGCTGCACTCGGGAGAAGACTGGGGAACGTCTGCCCTGGAAACTGAACCGTCACAAATCAAAACCCGCAGCTTCGGAAACACCAGCCCCCAAATCCCAGTACCCTCATTGCCCCTGGTATTAAAAATCCAACTGGCAAAAGATCCTCAAAAGCTACCTCCTGACGATAAGATCATGTAAACAAATTCTAATAAAGCCATCTTTCTTTTTCCACCTAGAGGAGACAGCAATTGAAAAGCCATTCACACAATTATATACATTAAAGATTTATAGAAATAATGAAACAGTACTGACTTTTAAACATGGTACTTTGCCTCAATATTTCATTCTCCTTTCCATCTGAAAAGATGCCTCTCCCTTTAGAGGGGCCACACATGGCAGAATAAATTAGCCGGCAGCCACCCGTTTATTAGGTGATTACAGTGGAAAACAGATACGATCTCCAGGGAGCATGGTAAGGTTTGGATGTTACAAACAAGTGACATATTCAAAACACACTGGCTGACTATTGTAAATCATTTTCTCATGCAAATTGAACCATGCATAAATTTGATCATGTTGTATTCTTGAATGCACTCATAAACAAAGAAGCAATATTCCCAAACTAAATTCTTGAATATCAGCTTATTTCCTGTTCTGTTTGAGCTAAGAACAATCACACATTTATTAGCTATATGTAGGCTTCATGGCTAGTGTCACAATATTCTGGATAGTTTATAAGGTCACACAATCCACACAGTGAAGAGGCCTCGGGAGGAAAACGTGAGTGGCTCGCGGATAACCGCTTGCCTCGGCACGTTCTCACACCCCAACAGCTTGCTCCCAGCTTCCTCACCGCTCAGAACCAGCGCTCTGCCTCTTTCCTTTTCGCCCAAGACCTCATTTTGTTAATGAAGGCTCGCTTTACAAAAATATAGTTCCAATCCAATAAATGTTATCTCCAGCATATGGAGTGACAAAAAGGGATCTTCATAAAGGGCACTTATACTCTAAAATTTGGGGCATCTTCCTAAACTCTTGACACTAATTATTGGCAGGGACTCCAGAATCTTCCAGGAAGCAACTTCTTATTCCAATGACAAGCCCAAGGCAAATGGGACTCTAAGCCTGAGCAATCCAATCACTGTCTTTTTTTTTTTAAGTACATAGTGTTTAATATAAGGCACATTTCCAAAAGAAAAACACTACCTAGTCTATAATAAAATTACATTTGTCTTGGGTAAAGTAACAATGCTTACAGTGTAAGAACATTAAGTAGTTGTAGGAAACCTCATATGAGAATTCTATCCTACTGCTATTAGTAACTTCCTCAAGAACTAAGAGTAAATTTTTGCAACGGAACAATTTTTCTTCTTGGAAATGACACTAACAGCAGTAGCGAGAAAACAGAAGCTCTAAATTTTGTTTACAGTCTATTTCTAATCCCATCCATAAATGGATTTATTAGATTTGCAAACTTTTAAAACACATAACTATCTTCTGTTCTTGGACTGAGCAGAAAGAGAAAAGCTACCAAGGATGAAGAAGTCAGCCTCCCAAGATTCCAATGTAACAATGACTAAGTCAAAGGAAGCGGTCCTGCCTTCCCCTTTTAGCCAAGAAAGTGGACTCATGTTAGAGCAAAAATAAAAGGAGGGGACAATTCTCTGCAGATGGACTCTTTCCTTGTTTGGTGACCAAGTGAGAGAAAAAAAAACCAGAAAGCTCTGACTTCTATTCCAATGTCCACTTACGTATCATATAACCATAAATTACACTGAGGTCTATGAACCAAACAAGAAAAACCAGTCCATTAGTACTATAATAACTCTGACAACATTGAATATTTATGTAGCACTTTGTAATTTTTAATATACTCCCCAATTTATCTGGGCTTTTTTTTAAACCACATGTTAAGTGAAGAAAATTACCATATATGAATCCTCCTTTCATAACTTAAGAATGACAGGTCTAAACCATTCTAAATAACAAACAGTACCTTCATTTTTCAATGAAAGCATGGATAGCAACATCAACATAGATAACTTAATAGTTGACAATTTAGTTCTTTTAAATTATTTCACTATGTCCTGATAACCATCCATTGGATTTCTAGTATTTTAGGGTTTGTCTGTTATTCATTGATTCAACAATGAATATTATTTTATATTCTTTCAATAAATATTATGTGCTGAACACTGCAGTAGGTAAAACAGAAATAATTTCAGCCCTCAGATGATTTAGGAGGGAGACATATTTGATAATCATTACATACATAAAATTCTAAATTGTAATTAATATAGTGAATAATTTTAATCACTTTAATCACAATTACTATCATGAATTAATAATTATAAAAGATCATAACACAAAAGGCCCCTCTGAAGAAGTGGCATTTAGGCTAAAACCTGATAGATAAGTAGGGGTTGGAGGGTTATTATTAATTATAGCTCCCTATAAAGACTTTTGAGACTTTTTCTCTAACTCCTCCTCCCCCATAAAGTATCAACACCAAATATATCTGCATATTTGTGTGTATGCTATATAAATATATACACACACACACATATACACATATATGTATACATATATACACACAAACATATACAGGGTCCGGCATGAATAATGCCCCTTTATATTATAAAATCTTTTATTACAAAAATCATAAGCATGTAATTCTGTAACATAACGATATCACATTCAAGCACACCATATGACATTTTAGGTTACATGTTCAAATTGCTGTCTATCTCATGGTACCCTACCAACCACACTCAAGCAGGCATTACTTCTACAGGACCCTGTATATATCTGTACTTTATACATGAGAATTAGTGGTAAAACATAAACCAATATTAGCCTGTGGTTTGATTATTTCAATTTTTCCATAATGTTTGGCAGACTTTATAGAAACAGATTAAGAGAGAAACTACCAACTAGCCAAACTCACTTTGTGATGTCTTCAACCAGCTTGGAGAGTCCACCATTTAAAGCTAAGTCTAATGGCGTGGCACCCTCTTCATTAGGTAAAGCCAAGGCCTGAACTCCCCCTGGGAGACACATGAGAAACTGGGAAAGCTTAGGCAGGCCCCATCTCACAGCGAGGTGTAGAAGAGACTCTCTGTGAAGGCTCCCTGAAAAGAAGACAAACATATGAGTCCCTCTGTTTACAAATTTTGTCTCATACATCTTATCAGAGACCCTGTATTAGACACAATAAGAATAGGGGAAGGACCCATCGAGAGCATCCAATCCAAACACCTCATTTTACAAATGTGGAGAGATCAGTGATTTATCCAAGGTCAGGAAGCTGGTAGGTGCTATGGTCAGGTCCATTCATTGCTGGTACGATGTTCTTTCCGCACACTATGGTGCATGTCTGCATCACCTTTCACTCTCATGCAGTAAAACAAGTGCTAGGAACAGGCCACCGTCTGGAAACAGACAGTCAGGGGAGATGGTGCTACTCCAGCGGGGCAGGCTCTCAGAGGCAATGCTGGAAAGCAGCTTCGCTTCCATCCTCTGTCCCTGGAGGCGCTCTCTCCCAATGAGAAACTGGGACAGAAATGGGTCTCACACGTCCAGAGAAACGGAGACCGTGGTCCCCCTCCAACGTCGTCCATTAGATCTGTAGGATTATTTCAATGCTGCCAAAGCCACCCCAGCTCCTGGTTGATCTGCGTGTCTTGGTTTCATTGTGGTGTTTGCTGCTCTATATTGTGGTGGTTTCCTAACTGTATCATCTTACAGGTTAAGGGGGTCCTCGAAGTTTTGTATTCCTAACATCCAGCATCCAGTTTCGCAAACTGAAGTCATTTGATATTTGTGGAGTTGAATAGCAATTGACTGTCAGAATCTCAAGCATTTGTGTATGTTTAAATTGCCTGATTTGTATAGAGTTTGTACACCTGTTTTTCTACAGCAATGACCCGGTGCCTGGGACACAAGTGGCCCATGATACACATTACATTGGAAATATGTAAAAGAACAAATTTGCATTAAAAAGGCACTTTACATTTTTTTTGAGAAGTTAGGCCTGTGAACTCCATAGACATCAAGACACACCTTAAAACAAGCCTAATCTTAACAAACTAAACACAAAAATTCTAACATTCATGACCTGTTGGATTAAGCATGCTGTAACAATGTGAGTTACACACACCCCACAGGTGAGCAACGTTACTGGCTGTGTTTGTAATCTGAAAGAGATCCAGACAACACTGCATCACACTGGGTGACAGCCCGGAGGGGCAGGGGCTGGTCTGTCTTTTCTCCTAGCACAGTGCCTGGCACACCTTATATGCTCTATAAATATTTGCTTATTGAGTAAATGAATAAATGACTAATGGCTCTTTCCCTGGTGAGCACCCATGGAAGTCAGTTTTTAGTAACTATAGAAGTTTGGACCCACAGCTGCTATTTGGAGCATCTCTCATCCTTAGTTCCGCCTCTGACATCTCTTGACTAAATTCAGAACACAAAATGCATACTACTGCACACAACTTAGACACCGAGGACATAAACCACCTACTTCTCCACACTGCTTACTGTCCACATTACTGTGATGTTACTATCCCATTGTCTCAGTAGCATAACTTTACTACTCCATTTACTTACCCAGGCAAATAACTGACTGTTCCCTCTGGGAACTTCCTTTAAGGCACATCAACTCTTCAACAGATAGTTTCCAAGCCCAAAACCAATGTTCATTATATCATCATCCATACTCAACCCTAACCAGACTCCCCTCCCTGCCCATCACCCCTCCCCAATCAACCCTCCCCTGCACTAAAAGACTCTCATGAAACCAAACTTCAAGTTCTCAGTAAATTCCACTTTTGCCTTACCCACTGGAGACTCTGCTAAGGATCTGTGGAGGCGGAGTTCTCCCTTACCACAGCATGCACCAAACTCAGCACTGTCTTACTAGCAGGTGGTGGGGATGCTACTTGGGAAGCCAGCAGCCAACAAAGCCTTAGAGCGAAACAACCAGGAAATACTTCACTACACATGGATATAAAAGAAAACTGCTTAGCTTACATTTTTAATCCATCTATACTGCTATTTCTATATCCAGATCAGTGAACATAAGGCCTTATATTTTAAATATGTAAATGAGCGCTCCCAGTGAAATGACACTAACTTCACTGTGTATTTGCTCCATCGTCCATCTGTGTGACACAGCACAGTCTCCCCAAGTGAGGCAACCTCTGAAATGACAAAACATCTCAAAACAGAGAAGGTGGTATACCCCCACCAGACATTTTAATGTACTTGATATCTTCAAAAGAGTTATATTGGCTATTAAATAGCTTACCGTTAATTATTTTATCCTTTAAACTTTGAAGGATTTAAGACTATTTTATTGGAAAGTAGGGTTTTTACTCCTAGCAGATTCCCAACAAGGCATGTTTGATAACACTTCCATTTGTTTCCTTCTTAAATAATAACCAGGAAAAGGGTTGTTAGGATCAGGTAACAAAACACACTCACACAGGCACACTCTCCAACGCGGCTGTCGGCATGAGGCTGCAACCAGCCACCGGAGGATGGAATTTCTAAGTCATCAATCCCAGTCTGAATCTGTTGAGAATGTCCCACAGTTATACAGGAGACAAGTTCCTTCCAAGAAAAATATGACCAAAAGGGAACATCTAAACCTTTTGCATTCCCTTTAAACAATACCATTGATAAAGGTAACTATGATGTCAATCATGTCAATGGTAACCCCTGCAGGGCCTGGGACGATGTCCTGAATACCCTCCAACCTCAGGTGCAGTTCACTGGATTCAGGCTGACCCACAGAGGGGGTGTGAGGAGAAGTTGTTTCCTCCACCAGAGTCTCCCAGGCCTGTGCTGCTGGCCCAGCTCCCTGGTCTCCCCTCTCTGGCTCCCGTCCTCACATCTTGTTCAATGGGAGAGAACTGCCCTCTCACCCCCTCCCCCTGACCTCCCTCCTTCCAGAATCTACCCACTTCCTGGTGAGATGGGAAGGCAGGGGAAGGGAGATCTTCTAATGTTTGAAGAAAAAAATAAAAAGCTGGACACAATGTTTTAAGAGTGTGCTTTCTCATTCAGTATAAAAGTTCAGAGTGCAGAATCAGGCAAACAGCTTGAAATAGGAATCATGACATATATAAATTATTCTGCTGGTTACAGAGTTTCTACGTCTTAACAGCAGTCAGGAAACCAAGCTTTGAGAAGGGGTTTTCACAATTTGGCAGAGGTGGAGGTGTTCAATCAAATCTTTTTTTTTCCCCAAATAAATCTCTTCCTCTTTAGCTGGAGTAATTTGAAGAAATTGTCACTACAACAGAATTACAAAGAATTGCTCTAATGGCAAACATTAAAAGGTACAACCTGCAACATCCTGGGAGCAAAACGACCCAGACACAAAGAGAAACTGATCAGGCTGCGTCATTCAGCCTGCATGCCATCGGCCCTACGAAGAGGCTCCTCTGCCCCAGCAGGGAAGGAGGCTCAAGTCTGTGCCCCTCACGCTGCCATTCCTCAGGTTTTCTGACTGGAAAATGAGCTGTCACATCAAAGAACCAAGGTCCTCAGACTGGTCATTCCTGCCCTGGATTTTTCAGGATAAGGATACTTTTCAGCACACACCAAGAGACCTTCCAGAGTGCTCGCGACCCAAGAGCAGACTGGCCACACAATGTGGTTATTACTGAAGGAAAGTGATTTTATTAACTGCTCAGCCCAAATTTAGGGTCATTATCATACCTCTATAAGGTTTGACTATGCCTTTCAATTAGCAAAAAATCAGGTTGGACGATTGGAAAATAAATTACCAAACCCTCATGAACTCACATTCATTACTGGAGATAATATAAACTAGTACAATCAGTTTGGAAAACAGTGCCAGAGGGAAGCAGAGGTGGGGAAGCAGAAGGAGGCAGGGCGGAGATAAACGGTGAGAGAGGAGGCTTGGCTTGGGGGGTGAACACACAGTGCCGCGTACAGGTGACGTGCCGTAGAACTGTACACCTGAAACCTATATAATTTTATTAATCAATGTCACCCCATTGATTATCTGTATATATATAATTTATATATATATAAAGACATATATAAATTATTCTGCTTGTTACAGAGTTTCTGAGTCTTAACAGCGGTCAGGAAAACAAGCTTTGAAAAGGGGTTTAGAAAAGGTTTAAAGAAGAGAGAAACTGATATCTCATGGCTGAGCAATTCCATTCCTACATAAAAAACCTAGTGAGGACTGTATATTTTACACATCAGAAAACATACCCAAAAATGTAAAATGCTTAACAATCAAAGTGCTCTGAATGTCCATCAACAGACTAACTTGTGGTATAATCATACACTAGCATGCTAACAAAAATAAAAATGAATTACAGACTCACATAGAAAGAACTAAGAAATATAATGTTGAAGAGCAAAAGTCATAAAAGAATATACAGAATACATTTCAATTACTATGAAGTTTAAAAAGTGAAAACTAAACCATATTACTTATGTATATATAAGGAGTAAAACAAAAAATAAAGCAAGGACATGGTTACTATAGGAGTCAGCATAATACTTCTGAGCGGGAAAGAGGGAATGTGAGGAGGAAAATATGTGGCGCAGTGGTGCTCCTGGAGCTCAACAGTATCTGTGTGTCTCTTCCCATCAACGCCCCCCGCCCCCAACCAAAACACACAGTTGTGTTCCAGATTCTCCCCAGAACACCTGACACAGAATTTCTGGGGCGGGGTCCAAGCATCAATCTTTTCTGAAGATTCCCAAGTGATTCTTATGCAAAGTCAGGGTTGGGATCCCCTACCTTAAATAAATAAGTGGTTAACAAAATACTCATCTATGCTTTCTTTTTGTACCTCTGTCTTCCCAATCAAAGATCTCTTAAGTAAAAAGTTTCAACAATGAATAAGAACAAAAAAATAATAATGTTTGCAACCTTTCTAATTGATTTTTTAGAGGGGGGGTTAGGGGAGAAAAGAGAGAGACATTGATTTGTTGTTCCACTTATTGATGCATTCATTGGTTGCTTCTTGTATGTGCCCCAAACAGAGATCAAACCCACAACATTGGCATATCAGGACGATACTCTAACCAACTGAGCTACCCAGCCAGGGTTGTTTGTGACTCTTGCAAGTTA